GGAGATCTAAAGACAATAGCGTTTATGGCTTTGGAGCAGGAACCAGATCTGCAAATCAAGAGGTGTCCATGGGAACGGAAGATTCACACCTGTCCAAAAGGCACCTTTGATGTAGGAATAGGATCTGCATATTGCCACCACCCCTTAGGAGAGCGTCATCCCCTCGTCATCCCCTCTCATCCCCTCGTCACCCCCTCTTCATCCAGTAGTGATAGTTTAGAGGACGGGTTTGATAGTTTATGGCTGGATAGCACATGCCCCAAAAAGAGTTTATTTAAGGAGAAACTCTCCTTTGTCTCTCTGGTTAACCCACCTTCCCCATAGCAGTGCACTAAGGTGCTACAAGTGACTCTACTACTTAAGTTCTCCGGGAGTCGCGACCCAGAGAGCTCACACGTGGTTTGGCTGGTCCTACCTGTGTGCCTTGGAGTTCACAAGCTGCTGCATTTCGGCTGCCCAGCGTTCCAAGGAGGAGAGTTCTTCCTCAGCTGGACCTCAGATGAGTATAGCCGTGCCCCATTGTGTCATCCCCATTTTGATGCTTTTGTTATTTTCTATGCTGTAATTGTTCTGATGTACTATTGTAACTAAGGAGCTTGTATGAAATTGTATGATTCCGATTTTGTATGACTGATGAAAAACCCTTTAGTAAAGACAACATTTATTTAAGGACTAGCGTGTTGTCTCACTTCCTGGGATATAGCGAGCGTCTCATTGGCCATCTGACCTCTGTATAGACTGGTATAGAACTTACGCACAGCCACAAACACCCAATTTTCCTTGGTAGATAACTTGGATTGGGTCTCCAGGAATTTCCTGGAGAAGTTGGCATAACAGATCTGGTGCCCCGTGTGAGGCGACCTTTGGACCCCTCGGAACCAGTACCCAACCATTTGGTTCCGAAGGACCCAAAACGTGGAGAAACGATCTGGTCGTTTGGACGCTCTAGCGTAGGGAAGTGTGAGAGGTTTCCGTCTGCGTGCTTGGCCTTTAGTGGCATCTGTACTGCGGGAGGGATTTCTACCCCTTTCCCTCTAAACCCAGGAGCATCCTCGGTTTCGCGCTCCGATCCTATCGTTGTGGGTGGACACCGAGGCGCGACTACGAAGAGGACCTGGTTAGGGAACCCCCAGTTGCACAAGCACTACATACACGCAGGAACATATAAACCCCTGTCTCCTTAAAACGCTCCCCGACTTCGGTGCCCAGCCAAGAGGCTGCGCCCGTAATATTCTCCCTCCCCCGAATAAGGATACACGCTTGGATCCAAGGTCTGGTTTTTGCTAACTGAAATCTCTCTTACAGCAGAATGGAATTTTTCTGCCTCCAGTTGCCACCCGCTCAGTTCTATGAAATTATATTCTTGGGGGGGGGGGGTACCCAGGACCCTCAGAAACAGCATAAGGGACAAATTGAGGGGAGTGAGAGGGGAGAATTGGCCAAACTTGCTCCCCCTTTCTACTGACCAAAACCGACCTTGAACCCAACCCACAGGACTGATTATCTATTGAAGTGGATAGTTAGGCAGCTGATTTAAGAGATCATAGCTTATTACACAGTTCCTACCCATGAAATGGCTTACTCCTGGATCTTTTGATCACTAGTGCACTGTTGGTAAGGAGCTGGG